AGTTGAGTAAGTGACCAAGTAAGTGAGTGAGTGAACGAGTTAGTGAGTGGGTGAGTAGTTGAGTAAGTGACCAAGTATGTGAGTGAGTGAGTGAACGAGTGAGTGAGTGGGTGAGTAGTTGAGTAAGTGACCAAGTAAGTGAGTGAGTGAACGAGTGAGTGAGTGAGTAGTTGAGTAAGTGACCAAGTAAGTGAGTGAGTGAACGAGTGAGTGAGTGGGTGAGTAGTTGAGTAAGTGACCAAGTATGTGAGTGAGTGAGTGAACGAGTGAGTGAGTGGGTGAGTAGTTGAGTAAGTGACCAAGTATGTGAGTGAGTGAGTGAACGAGTGAGTGAGTGGGTGAGTAGTTGAGTAAGTGACCAAGTATGTGAGTGAGTGAGTGAACGAGTGAGTGAGTGGGTGAGTAGTTGAGTAAGTGACCAAGTAAGTGAGTGAGTGAACGAGTGAGTGAGTGAGTGAGTGAGTAGTTGAGTAAGTGACCAAGTAAGTGAGTGAGTGAACGAGTGAGTGAGTGGGTGAGTAGTTGAGTAAGTGACCAAGTATGTGAGTGAGTGAGTGAACGAGTGAGTGAGTGGGTGAGTAGTTGAGTAAGTGACCAAGTAAGTGAGTGAGTGAACGAGTGAGTGAGTGGGTGAGTAGTTGAGTAAGTGACCAAGTAAGTGAGTGAGTGAACGAGTGAGTGAGTGGGTGAGTAGTTGAGTAAGTGACCAAGTAAGTGAGTGAGTGAGTGAACGAGTGAGTGAGTGAGTGAGTAGTTGAGTAAGTGACCAAGTAAGTGAGTGAGTGAACGAGTGAGTGAGTGGGTGAGTAGTTGAGTAAGTGACCAAGTAAGTGAGTGAGTGAACGAGTGAGTGAGTGGGTGAGTAGTTGAGTAAGTGACCAAGTAAGTGAGTGAGTGAACGAGTGAGTGAGTGGGTGAGTAGTTGAGTAAGTGACCAAGTAAGTGAGTGAGTGAACGAGTTAGTGAGTGGGTGAGTAGTTGAGTAAGTGACCAAGTATGTGAGTGAGTGAGTGAACGAGTGAGTGAGTGGGTGAGTAGTTGAGTAAGTGACCAAGTAAGTGAGTGAGTGAACGAGTGAGTGAGTGAGTGAGTAGTTGAGTAAGTGACCAAGTAAGTGAGTGAGTGAACGAGTGAGTGAGTGGGTGAGTAGTTGAGTAAGTGACCAAGTATGTGAGTGAGTGAGTGAACGAGTGAGTGAGTGGGTGAGTAGTTGAGTAAGTGACCAAGTATGTGAGTGAGTGAGTGAACGAGTGAGTGAGTGGGTGAGTAGTTGAGTAAGTGACCAAGTATGTGAGTGAGTGAGTGAACGAGTGAGTGAGTGGGTGAGTAGTTGAGTAAGTGACCAAGTAAGTGAGTGAGTGAACGAGTGAGTGAGTGAGTGAGTAGTTGAGTAAGTGACCAAGTAAGTGAGTGAGTGAACGAGTGAGTGAGTGGGTGAGTAGTTGAGTAAGTGACCAAGTATGTGAGTGAGTGAGTGAACGAGTGAGTGAGTGGGTGAGTAGTTGAGTAAGTGACCAAGTAAGTGAGTGAGTGAACGAGTGAGTGAGTGGGTGAGTAGTTGAGTAAGTGACCAAGTAAGTGAGTGAGTGAACGAGTGAGTGAGTGGGTGAGTAGTTGAGTAAGTGACCAAGTATGTGAGTGAGTGAGTGAACGAGTGAGTGAGTGGGTGAGTAGTTGAGTAAGTGACCAAGTAAGTGAGTGAGTGAACGAGTGAGTGAGTGAGTGAGTAGTTGAGTAAGTGACCAAGTAAGTGAGTGAGTGAACGAGTGAGTGAGTGGGTGAGTAGTTGAGTAAGTGACCAAGTATGTGAGTGAGTGAGTGAACGAGTGAGTGAGTGGGTGAGTAGTTGAGTAAGTGACCAAGTATGTGAGTGAGTCAGTGAACGAGTGAGTGAGTGGGTGAGTAGTTGAGTAAGTGACCAAGTATGTGAGTGAGTGAGTGAACGAGTGAGTGAGTGGGTGAGTAGTTGAGTAAGTGACCAAGTATGTGAGTGAGTGAGTGAACGAGTGAGTGAGTGGGTGAGTAGTTGAGTAAGTGACCAAGTATGTGAGTGAGTGAGTGAACAAGTGAGTGAGTGGGTGAGTAGTTGAGTAAGTGACCAAGTATGTGAGTGAGTGAGTGAACGAGTGAGTGAGTGGGTGAGTAGTTGAGTAAGTGACCAAGTATGTGAGTGAGTGAGTGAACGAGTGAGTGAGTGGGTGAGTAGTTGAGTAAGTGACCAAGTATGTGAGTGAGTGAGTGAGTGAACGAGTGAGTGAGTGGGTGAGTAGTTGAGTAAGTGACCAAGTATGTGAGTGAGTGAGTGAACGAGTGAGTGAGTGGGTGAGTAGTTGAGTAAGTGACCAAGTATGTGAGTGAGTGAGTGAACGAGTGAGTGAGTGGGTGAGTAGTTGAGTAAGTGACCAAGTATGTGAGTGAGTGAGTGAACGAGTGAGTGAGTGGGTGAGTAGTTGAGTAAGTGACCAAGTATGTGAGTGAGTGAGTGAGTGAACGAGTGAGTGAGTGACCCACCGAGAAGGTGAGTGACCGAGTGAGTGAGTGAGTGAGTGACCGAGTGAGTGAGTGAGTGGGTGAGTGACGGACCGAGTGAGTGAGTGACCGAGTGTGTGAGTGAGTGAGTAGTTGAGTGAGTGAGTAGGTGAGTGAGTGAGTGAACGAGTCACCGAGTGAGTGAAAAAGTGAGTGAGCGAACGTCAGCGGGTAATCATCAAACACCTCTTATCATATTTCACAGAAAATACAAACTATACTTGAATCGTCAATTATAAAAACGCGTGTCGTTACGCTCTCCAAATGGGCCAAATCTAACGTTCAGTCAAGGATATCATGCACCAAAGTACACAAAGGAGTCGTTAAGCAACTTATATCCCCGTAAACTTCCATTTCTGAGAAGTCGCTCGCCTGATGTACTTAGATTAAAGATAGGGGCGCGGTGTTGAAAGCTCTGATCTCTCACGGTAATATGGTACGCGGAAGACGATTGGTTCATGTGACACAACGGAGGATAGGATTGGCTCACATGTCATGTAGTGTTCAAATAAAACAAGGAAGTTCACACGACACTTAAGGTTTCAAATGTTATGAGATGTAGTGGATTTCAATGTAATATTTCTATATGTCAACAGCTGAAACTACATTAAATGAACTAATACAATAACTAATATGTATTTTGTGTGATGCTGAAATGCGAAATACGATTAATACCACGAGATTCTCTAAATCATTTAGTTCATTAATCAATTTAATCGTTTTTCAGTCATATTTCTTGTCATTTTATTTACAATTGCCAGAGAGGGCTTAAATAGTATTTCGTCGGTAATGGATTATTTTCGGAAACTGCTTCTTTTTCGCCAGGAATTGGCCCCTGTGAATAACAGTAAACCCAGATATACGCTTACTTGGCTGAAATTCCAAACACATAGCACTTGTGCAGTAAGTTGTGAATAACACGGCTTAGAACAGTTTGTATGAATTTAATATCCTGTTCATCTCGCCGCATCGGGTTTTCCTCCCACATTAAGATGACACGCCGTGATATCACTGGAAAACTGTGAAATACGGCGCTGAACCCAACCCACTCACTCATCTCGCATAGAAGACTGCAAACAGCCCGCCTTCAATGTGAATTATAATAAAATCTATAACATCTTAGATACATTGTCCCCGATGTTTTGTTTTGTTTGTTTCTTTGTTTGTTGTTTAACGCCGCACTCAGCAATATTCCAGCGACATGAAAGCGGTCAGTAAATAATCGAGCCTGGACCAGACATACGAGTGACTGACGTATGTATGACAAGCATCAACCAATTGCAAGTCAGCGAGCCTGATCACCCGATCCCGTTAGTCGCCTCTTACGACACACACAGGCGCGCGTGAACGCACGCACACAGACGTACGCAGGCACACGTGCAATAATCTTGAACGCGACATTAGGCCCCATTTCACCACTTCACCTTAGAGCAGCGACACGGGTTTTCTTCAGCATCAAGCTTGATAAAACCGAAATACTGTCCAAAGAGGCGTTAAACCCAACTCACTCACTCACACACCCATTCAAGCCGGCAGTCAATGCGTCTAAATAATGGCGCTGAGCAATTCAAGCTTGCACTTCCGTACCGTACACCTATACAAACAAAATGTATGCGAAGAGTGGAATATTGATTACAACGGAAGACAAACATGCATGTGTCGTCACGACAGATATTGCATATGGAGCTTCAGTAATGTTATGTTTGTCATGGTTGTCATGGTTGCAACGTTTTGTTTGTCTTGGCTGTGCAAAATCTGTCCATTCACTTACATGTAGCCTTTCTCCAAGGCTGTACTGAAAGATAAGTCCATGGATGTGAAGCAATTCTATCCTCCTAAAAGGCAAGTCTAGATATGTGGACAGTTCAGTTACTCCAGTCTCTTATAGGGACAACTTGCTCTTATTATTTACATAATCTAGAAATTATGATTTAAACTAATAATTATTGCCTTAGAGACTTGTGCAAGTCTAACTTACATGAACGAAGCCGAGTTTGGACCGTGAACAATCTGTGAGCTTGAGTTTCACCGACGGTTCGTATGCTTGACAAGATTTTGAAAGGCGCACTGGCCGAGGATTGTGACTCTCATTATACAGGTTTCTTGTCGATATTGGAGCGTTACCGTTACCTAGGGGTATTGGGGCGTTCCCCTTTCATGGCCACCAACCGTATCCCAGGAGACCCAGGATATGACTTTGGGCTGACATGCATTGGCATCCCCCAAACTCTTCCCCGTTTTAAAAAAACCCCTCAAAACAGTCACGGTAACCAAATAAATGAATGAATGAAAGTATTGAGGGAAGAACGAACGAACGAATGAATAAAAGGATGGAGAGAAGAACGAACGAATGAATGAATGAATGAATGCCCCCAAACCCCCCACCCCGCCCTCCTCCCCTCACACTCACACACACACACACAACCCGTCCTGTTCTACATGCCGGCTCGCTTACCGTGCACAATACATATTATGAAAGCCGCCTGTGTCTATCCATACCAAAAGCTGACAGTCTGCAATTTCACATCCGTGTTAAATATTACACCGTCCTTGACCTTCAGATAAGATCAACGACGAACATACCGTAAAATAATACACATCCTACTGGTTCACCAGCCAAGCAAGTGGCCTGAACAGAGCACAAGGGGGACAGTAAAACTGATCGGAGGCTGATGCCATACGCACACGAGGGATATCAAGCGGACCATGGCGGGGTATTATGCCACAAACACATCAGAGAAAAACTTACGGAAACTCGAGCGAGGCGTGGTGGTGACAGTGTTTTGTCCCTCTAAGAAAAAGCCGGAGAATGTTACCTTAAGAGCCATTCTAGAGACCAAGGAGATCATTTGTATCTTATATGAAGGAGGAAAGCCTGAATATAGAGGTATGTTTATGTTATTTACCCATGCGTGACGCGTTCGTTCATGTCGTTATGTTCTATGTAGCCATGGACGTTTAAACGTCGTATCGTTTCCAACATTGGTTACGTTTATTGCATTATTGGTGATACTAATTATGATAATCGTAATAAGGTTTTCATATTAGTTTGTCGTGAAGGAAATTAGCCCCATTTTGGTTAGAAACACGAGAGAGGAGTGACCTAGTTCAGTTCTACTTCCCGGTTCAACATTGTACATGTCGATGTAACAAGCAGGGACAGTGTTAGTTGTGTAGGGTGTATCTCAGAGAGAGAGACTCCCCTCAAAAGGTTCCCGCAGGCCTTACCTCCTTTCAGAACCATGGCGCTTCCGGGTAAACCCAGGAACCTAGCTACCATTGCATGAGGGGACTAACTGCACGGGTGTTTAGCCTCGGTGACTTGGTAGATCGTGTGTCATTGTCACCTCAAAGCGTGGATCGAGGGGACGGGATATCAATCACTGGATTGTGTGGTCCAGACTCGATGATTTACAGACCGCCGTCACACAGCTGGAATATTGTTTAACGTTTAAGCAAACAAACAAATACTTTATTTCACTCTATGAGCATCCATGCATCATTTCTGCAATATCCTTTAAACTTTCTTATTTCCTTGACACAAAGTGTAAAGTTTTAATAATTATTTCATTTCGTGTCAAATAATATTTCACATTACATAATGAATATATTACAGTATGAAGTGTGGATATAGAGGATATGGTGATATCAATCACTGGATTGCAAATCAAATTTTAACATTTGAGAAAATATTATTAAAAATTCTTTTCCGACTTCTTGGGTTCATGCTACTAAAAAAAGGTCAGCTATGAAAAATATAAAGATATTTGTGTAACTGTAAAGTGAGAAGCAATAACTTGCTTAGAATTTTTTCAAACCATCTTTACTCTTTACATCTTTACTGCTTTGTGAACTAATTAAAAACAAAGAAATGTTTGGGTCGAGACATTAAAACTGCGTCACCCCACCCGTCGTCAGGCAATATAGAGTTACCTTTTTATGCAGATTGTGTGAATGGCAGGTGCTTCCGATAGAGCAATACACGCCAACCGTTTTCGCGAACACCTGGTGTCTTCACTGATTTCCAGTGGTCCATTCATATAATTTTCACAGCTCTTTTAATTTGCCCTTTTACGCCAAATGGAACTTGTTTCTGTTGATAGTCAAGACTGGTTATTCTCTTGCATGGACGTTTTATATTTGATTATAATAATAATAATAATAATAAAAATAATAATAATAATAATAATAATAATATATTATTATTATTATTATTATTATTATTGTTATTATTATTATTATTATTTATTATTAGGTTTTGCAAAATGTAGAGAGGCAGGGTAATTCATGACGCAAGGGCAAAAGTGATCAAAACCCCTTGACATAACATCAGGAGTAAGGGATAATCAACGCATCACTTATTAATCCCACAAAATCGTCTTACAGTTGCCAGGGCATATATACTGAGGGGAAAAAGAAAGTATACCGAGAGTATTTTTATATGTAATTGAAAGAGCTGTTGTTAAAATTGATTCATGTGATTATGTCTTTGTAAACATTAGTCATTCCTGCAATGTTGAAAGTAATCTGTGGCTGGGTCATTTTGTATAAAAGTCAATGAATATTCTTTATGTGCTGACTAAGCGCCACTACAGTTCATTTTTTGGATAAAATATCGCTAACTTAAGATATGTTGTATTGAAAATCAAACATATGATAAAATAAACTGAGAGGTATAGTTTCTTTTGCTCCTCAGTTTGATTTATAAAACATTCACCCCCGTTTCACCCTCCTCCCATTCTCAGCCCCAGCAGCCTCATCCCCTTTTCAGCTGTCCTGAGAATACGAGACTTTAATCTTCCAATCTACTCGAGGGTCCGTTTATAGGATAATCTTTACCTTATAGGGGTATTAAGGATTATCTTTATAACGTTTACTCCCCCTCCCCAATCTTCAGGGGGATTCGCTGTGCGGAGTTGTGTCCCTTGGACACGGCAGAAACCTATGATTGTGGGTTCGAATCCCTGTTCGCCCCGATTATGTTCCTAGGTTTGTCAGCACCATACCCGTGCTCGTGGGTTTCAACGAAGTGGTCTGAGACCTGCATTACTTCGGGCTTTCCTCCCACATTAAGCTGACACGCCGCGATATAACTGGAATACTGTTAAAAGCGGCGTTATAAACCCAACTCACTCACTCACTTTACCCTATAGACCGACATCGCTATATTTCGGGGACCATACAGTGCGTAGTACCGTTGCCTTGACATGCCACGTTATGGACCGTCAGGTATGATCGACACATGACCTGAATCTTGTAATTAATTAGTTTTAGAGTTATTTTGTATTCTTTTACTTCACAGTAGATATGTTGTGAAACGAAGGAACTTTTTTTTGGCTATAAATGCTATATAAATTCATGTTCAAACGTGTGATTATGGTTTATAGAGAAACGCACCAAATATAAACTACCGAAATTAAAATTTCAGATTGTTTTATAAGAGGTTTTGCACTAATAATCTTTTTTTCTTTAAATAAATAAAAAAATAAATAAATAAATAAATAAATAAATAAATAAATAAATAAATAAATAAATAAATAAATTATATATTTTGTTTTCAAATAAATAAATAAATAAATACTCAGTCCATGCCTGAGTGGGGAGTGAGTGAATGGCCGCTTATATCACCGCGTGTCAGCTTAATGTGGGAGGAAAGCCCGAAGTGGTGCAGGTCTCAGACGTTTTCCACTTCGGTGAAACCCACGAGCACGGGTATGGTGCTGACAAACCTAGAAATATAATCTGGGCGAACCGGGATTGGGTAACCACGATCACAGCGAATTGTGACCTCTTAGACGACTGGGCCTCCCGTAGCCCTGACACAAGTGGGGATTGGTTGGTCAAGATGGATGTTTGGTATAAATACGCCCTGGCTATGTGTCAAAAATATACATTGAGTACATTCACCATGAGATTAACAGTCGATTAAATATAAGCTTAAGGTGTTAATTTCAGAAATATTATCCCCTGGTGGGGGAATTTTCAATAATACCGTGTCCACATACATCCGTGTGTGTTGTACGCCTTAACTCATAACTATGATTGTGAGGCATTTATCTTTCCCCGGGTTGCGTGGGAGGTATCCCTGCAGTAACTTGATGGAAGTGAATGCACGTTATGCTTGTTTGTTATTTAACGCCGCACTCAGCAACATTCCAGCTATGTGACGGCGGTCTGTAAATAATCGAGTCTGGACCAGACAAACCAGTGACTGACGTTATGAGCATCAATCCATGCAATTGGGATACGATGACATGCATCAACCAGGTTAGCGAGCCTGACCACACGATTCGTCAGTAGCCTTTTACGACCAGCATAGTCGCCATTTACGGCAAGCATGGGTTGCTGAAGACCTATTGTACCCCGGATCTTCACGGGTCTAGGAACTGTTGCACAGTTCGAGGTCAGATAAAAAAACAAACTTTTTAGGTTTGTAGATATACCCCTCCATACACTCAGATACCTAGAATTTAATTGTACACATTTTGAAATTATGGTGAGTATAGTGTAGCGCCGCTTTTAGCAATATTCCAGCAATATAACGGGACACAGAAATGGGCTCCACAAATTGTACCACGTGGGAATCGAACCCGGGTCTTCGATGTGACGAACGAATGCTTTAACCACTGGGCTACCCCACCAACCATTTGAAATTATAAGATGGAAAACAGGAAAATCAAAATACTATTGCAAATGTTATCAACCCGTAGGAAGACAAAGTGTGTAACAACACCAACGAAACAAGGAAGGCTTTGTTGTTCGCCGGCTGAAGGTCAAGTGAGCTTTTGTCGTGGTCTGTTTTCCCCTTGTCCTTCGTCCGCTGTGCGTCGTAAACATCTCCTCAGAAACCAGTGAACCTACATGTATGAAACTGAAACGTCACAGGATTGTTCCAGCCAATGATGACACACGATTTGTTCAAGAGGTTCGAATCCGAATTTCAATATGGCCGCCACAGCAGCCATATTAAATAAAACCTCTATTTATAGTCATAGCTCAGCCAATTGTTTTCAAAACGTGATGAACTTTGGTATGTGTTTATAAGGTAGTGGGGCTCAACACACATGTTCCTCTTTTGCGATATTTAATATTTTGACCTTGATTTGACCTTTGTTCTTTGGCTATAATCTTAAATTCTCCCACAATGCATTTCCCCCCACATCATCTCAGAAAGCACTGCACCAACGAAGATGAAACTTCGTATGCTTGTTTCCACCACATTATGACACCCGAATTTGGTAAGAGGTTTTTATCTGGGTTTTTTCACCTCAACCAGTCAAGTTGTGAAAAAGCTATTTCTGGCAATAACATTGATATTTTTGTTCAAAATGGAATGAATGGTTGATTGGTTGGTTTGTTGTTTAACTTAGCAATTGTCTAGCTAAATGACGGCGGTCTGTAAATAATCGAGTCTGGACCAGACAATCCAGTGATTGATATCATGAGTATCGATCAACGCAATTGGGATCGATGACATGCATCAACCAAGTCAGCGAGCCTGACCACCCGATCCCGTTAATCGCCTCTTACGACAAGCATAGTCGCCTATTACGGCAAGAATGGGTTGAAGGAGACCTAGTCTACCCCGGATCTTAACGGGTCTCAAAATGGAATGAAAGTTGACACATTTGTAGTTACTAATAGGGCACAAAATGTATGAATCTTGGTTCGCAATAGTGTAAATTTTGAACGTATTTCACCATGCTATTAAATTCTCTAGAAGGAATATTTGCCACTGAAACAGCCAGCCTGGGGGATTTAAACTTTGCAATGTAGATTGATCGTTATGATGACTTCATATGTTCCTCATAAGATTTAAGTGTAAGTATTTAGTTCTCAATGTTTATGTAGAAAATGATTATATATCAATGCTGACAACAACGTATT